AAGCTTACACAAAGCACTTAAAAACAAAAATTGCTTAATAAAACAACATTACTGTCTTCCATTAATGAAGTTATTGTTAATATTGTATTATAACAATTATTATTATTTAATCCTGAGGCCTTACCAGTGGTGGCGCTGACCTGCACTGCAAGAGTGGCATATTGCAGTGCTTCCTCATATTGCTTTTGCTTCATCAGGAGCTCTGTCAGTTTACTTAACAGCCTGAACTCTGAGTGCACATCCTTAATGCTGCGTGCAAATGGCAAACTCCCATCCTTTTTTGGGGGGCAAAATCCATGCAAAGTCATATGATATACATTTCTCAAGAATTATTGTATTGTTTTGGGTAAATTGTATTGTGAATGTGAACAAGGCGAGGCCTACCCTGTAAAAAGGTAGGGCAGCTATCTGATTTCTGTGTCCTTTGAAAAACACATCTCCTGCTTCCTCATAAATGCTCATAGCGAAGCATGGGTCATTCATCCTGAGGGCTGTCTTTACTGCTGCCTGTATACATTTGTTTATGGAGAAAGGAGTTATCACAGCAGCTGATAAAAGCATGTACATGATAGAGGAATACGTTCTCATTAGAGATCACCTTAGCCTTAAAACATAAAGATTACCATTTTTGTAGAATTTGTGGCATACCTTTGTACATAAATACCCAAAAAGTATAACACTAATCAATAATTTACTCCTTTTGCAATACACTACTTTGAAAATCATTACCTGTAGGTACATGTCAGCCAGTTCGTCTTCATTGATTAGATAGTAGATACGGCCCACTTGTAACCATGTCTCAGACTCTTCCTGTCTTTTCCCCAGATCTATAGAGATCCTCAAGCTTTGCTTTGAGCAATCTAGAGACTTCCTAGATGACCTGTAAGGATTTTAGCAAAGAATACTTTTAAAACTATTGATTTATTTGTTGCTATTGGATCAGGTTTCAAAGTACTGAAAGCAGTGATGTAGTGTATTGTGTGGAATGTGTATCTTACTTCTCTGTGTTGAGTGAGAGATACAGGCTGCTCAGGAGTTCAAGGTATTCTCCTTCTAGCTGTTTATTCTTGAGTCTTCTGCACAGACTCACACAGTGCTCATAGTAAACAATACACTGTCCGTACAGCAGCAAATCAGCATAATGACGACTTAAAACTTTTGCCACAACCATCTGACCTGCATTTAGAAGGAATTTGTTATTACTTAATAATGATCTGACCTCAAATTATTAATCCAATAAGTAAAATACATTTTGTAACATTGAAATGGCACTAAAAGTATTTTGACTAATTGAGACAATTATGTCATGATTGCAATTGATTTATTTGGTTAAAATAGTACTTGCATTGATATTTTGGTATGTATCGCATATAAATTTAAATGTGGCTTAAGTGTTCAAATACTTTTGGGACCACTGTATGCAATAGATAATATTTAAACTCACTGTGCAGATTGTTAGCACTAATAGCAATTAGCAGGCCCATCTCGAACCACAGTCGAACCTCCTGGCTCCCCCCTCTATCCTTGTAGCTCCTACCCAGCCATAGCAGAACCTGGACATGCTCCTGGTCTGTAGGGCTCTCTGAGAGAAACTGAAATAGGTGGAAGGATTTGAGTAGAAAGCACTCTGCCAGGCCTGAAGCCCCTATGGATAGGGACAAGCATCCCAAATTAGCCAGAGCTAGGGCTTCATTACGTTTGTTCCCATTCTCTCTGGAGATTTGCAGAGCACAATAAAAGTTTCTTGCTGCCTCCTGAACTCTGGCCTGTTTGCGTAAACATAAAGCTAGGAGATTGTAAACCACCCCACGCTGTGTTGGACTGTCTGTTTCATTCAAAGACTTAAGAAGTGGACGCAGATTGTTCTGAGCCTGAATGGGTTCATCTGTCATTACCAAGAGCCAGGCCAGCAGTATGGACGCCTCAAAGCCCTCTTCCTCATTGATTTGATTTCCAGTCTTTGCTGCATGTTGGGCATATGGCACAGCTTTTTTTAGTGCTCCATGCTGCTGGTAAACACTAGCCAGGCTCAGGCACAGGTCCCTCTGAGTCTTCAGGTCCTCCCCTTGACTAGCTATTGCCAAAGCCTGCTGAAGGTAAACCACCACCTGTGCAGGAAGCACAGAAATATTTTCCTTCCAGTGAGGATTAAGCCTGACTGAGTTTTTGATAAAGAGTTCAATTTTCTGGAATGCATCATTCAAGGAATGATCTTGCCCTGAGTCTAGACTTAAAGAAGCAAGTGCGAGGAAAGGTAGATACTTTTTGTGGTAAAGCCTGCACAGCAGCCAGTTGAGATCAACCGGGGCAATTTGCCTCCCTTCTTCCACAGACAGTGTGATGATAAGGAACTGAAGCCTCTCTACAAACGGTAAAGCTTCTTCTATTTTCCTTAGATGGAGAAAGAGACAAACAGAGAGATAGCATGTCCGAGCCTCTAGGTATTTGTCTTTTTCAATTATGGCTCTGCGCATGATTGGTTGTAGCAGCTCAAACTCATCCACAGAGCAGAAGTTGTGGCAGGGAAGACAAAGAATCAGAGCACTTGCTTTCTCAAGTGTGAACGGCAACTTGTCCATCATCTTCTGTTTTAGGTAAACCGAAGTGAGATTGGTGTAAAGGGCTATTAGAAGTGGTTTGTCATTAAAGCCATTTACAGGAACCTTCGAAGCCTCCTCAAAGTACACTCTTGCTTGTGAGTACTTTAGTTTCTTGGCACATAGGCGGCCGAGGAGGAAGCAGGCACGCCGGTGGGCCCAGAGCATCCTGCCTTTCTTGGCTCCTTCTCGCAGGTTTTCCAAATGTTGTAGCACCTCGTCCTCTGGAAGGCCATTGAAGAAAGTGTCCAGAAAAGAGTAGGAGAGGTCATAAAGAGTTCTAAAAGTGTCTTGGAAATATTCCAGGTTGAGGAGGGTCAAGATTGGGTCGCATCTCTCAGCTTCTTCAGTCTCCCAGATACCCTCATCCATAAAGTTTGGAGGGTCTTCCTCATATTCGTCCATTTCTCTGAAGGTGTCCTCCAGGTTGAAAGAGAGGACTTCAGAGTCTCGGTCAAGATGATTTCGAGAGGCAGAGAATGATTGCCTCGGGGACGAGTGGTAAGGAGTTGCATCACTCTTTTCAGATACAGTGCGCTTTCTTTGATCCACTGTGGTTTTCTGTTCTGCAGGTTACACAAAGTGTACATTTTAGAATATTTTATAGCACATACTCTAATAAACTTACAATGAAAAATGAAAATTAGAAATGAGGTAGATAAAGGATTTTCTGTGTGCAAAATTTGGTGATGGTTAGGCTTACCTGGAATTGGGTGGTTTCTGATGTAAGTGAAATCGGAGTCATCAAGTCTGTCTGCAGTTTGTAAGAGAAACAGTTTGCAAGAGAAAAAAGATTTGTCATTTGGTGAAAGGTATAGCTCAGCCAGTCTTATCATTTTTGCCATCATATATCCACCCTTATGTAATTTCAAATTAGTTTGAAAGTCTTTCTACATCTTTCTTCTTTCATCTTCTTGATGGTAAATGATGACAGAATTTTTTAGTAAACTACTCAATTGCCCTAAGATTATTCAAGGTCTCCCAGAGAGACAATGCATCATCTCTTACCCAATCTGTACACAGTGCTTATGTCAGTGGAGAAAAGATTTGTCAGTACATCTGCCTGGCTGGGCTCAAGGCAGGGGTTAAGTTTAGACAGGGCTGTCCTTTCCTCCTCACTCAGAAAGACCAATTGTCCATTGCTGTGCAAAGCCAACAAAGACAACATTATCATTCACATGACTCTCATTCGGGTTGCTTCATCACATCATCACATAACTCCACTAACCCCCCTTCCAACACCCTCATCACCCCCAGCTAGACAGAGGCACATTCAACAAAGGTCAACAGAATGAAATTGCTTTTGCCAGCTGGTTGCCTTCAATTGGTATGTCAGTATCATCGAGAGGCACATTAGATAAATAGTTTTGCAAAATAAAGAGAAGGTCCTTTGTTTAAGTACACGATGACTCTATGAATATAAATGCAGTAAATACAGTTGAACTGTTTACTTACAGTCTCTCAGTACTCTCGGGTTTTACATGGGCTTTGTGAACAAATCCTGTCTCTCCACTGGTGAGGTGTCTTCCTATGAACATACTCAGAGTATTGAAAAGAAATCCTTCAATCTTGATTTGATCTCCTATGCGTAAGTGCAGCTCATCTTTCACCACTGGGTAATGGTCCACTACTGCCACACAGGTCCCCACCACTGAAACAGAAGCAAAAAGATGTTGATTAACCCAAAATTACTGTTGATCCATCCTTCATTTTCTTAAAAAAAATAGACAAAATCAATGCCACAGTAAGGCATTTAAATTGGAAGTAAATAAGGAAAATGTTATAAAGATTTAAAGGTCCTGTGAAATTAGTTAGTATCAGAACATTATGTTGGTTTTAATATTTATAACCTAGTGTACTACAAAATATGCATTTAGAGGATATAAATATATCTGGATATATACATCCAAAGCTTGCAGTTTGTCACTTCCACCTAAATGGATCAGCAATTTTTTCACATAACCCCATCGTTTAGTTTTTCATCAAACCTTGACCATTGAGCTCCACCAGAGGGACTATTATATGTGACACTCTCTCGTCATGTTTCGGTTGAGATTACGTCAAACATCAAATAAAAAAATGCACATTTCAAAGCACTTCATGAAACCTTTAAAGATTATCTTAATAATAGGTTTTCTAAATATTTCAGAAGAATCTCACCAACAGGATGATCAAAGAGGCCTTCTGTAACTGAAATTCCTCCTGCATTTCCTGGATATTTCTTAAGGAACCATCTAGAAAAAAGTGTATATTTGTAAAGACATTAAAAGCTTTATTCTAGCTGAAGTAGATATTCAGCTAGACAAATCTGTTGTCCCTAAAATCCATCCTGTATAAGCTTAGAAAGTCAGTGTCACTTACTGATAAAATGGATAAGGCAGAGGCTGCATATCATGCACAGGCACCAGACCATGTTTGCCTGTTGACAGTAGTGTACCCTCCCATATGGCCTCCTGTCCAATGTCTTTCACCATGACTAGGTCATTCCTCCTGTAGTTTAGCTCCTCTTCCTCCTCTTTGCAGTCACTCTTATATAAAGTCTTGCCAAAGAATGTACCTGAAATGGTAATGAGACTGTCTTTAGTTACTAGCTTATTCCTGTAACATGTAAAGTATGTCCAAACCTTTATCAAAGTTGTCCTAAAACTATTGAGTATTGAGCAACACACAATTTTGTTTTAGGACAGTTTTTAAAACCTTTTTGAACCACTTCAAAAGTCAATTCAGTTGTATTACTCTTTAACAAGTTGATTTCTAAGTTTGACCCATATGCTGTTTTTTTTATATGTTTTGTCTGCCTCTTGACTGTGACCTTGACAGAGTCAAAAGTAAGGGACTGTTTTGGATAAATATTACAATAGTAGACAAATCCTTACCTTCCTGTAGCAGAAGTCCCAAATAAAGAGTAGCTAAGTGGTCTTCATCCACTGTTACAGAAATCTCCACATCGCTTAGCAATGCCGGGTCCAGCCAGAATGACTGGTCACAAAGAAAGTTCTCAAGGCATCTTGCTACATATCCTACAATATAAAATAAATATTTATTAAGTTAAAACTGTATACAGAATTATTGATGTTGAGTAAATGTAACAGAACATTTGATTGACACCAACCAAGTGCCAGGTAAGTGGAGAACTTCCAGATCTCCTCGACAGTTTTAAAGGTGATGACAAAGCTGTCTTTCTCCGCATGAACAGACAGCAGTCGTGCAGACAAGTCCTGTGTGTACAATATCAGCAAGAACTAAATGTAATGAAGATTGAAATGACTTAAGTAATCAATAGTAACAAGTTCATAATGGTGCCAGTACATCCGTGTCTGACCTTGAAGAGCTGGACGACATCCTGGCTGTTACTTTCTACTACCCGGAGTCTTGTACGCAGTGCCTCTTGAAGCTGATCGTCAGGTGCTACACTCGATCGCCACCTCCCGCTAAACAACAAAACAACATCTCCAAGGAACAGAGCAAAAATATTGAGTTAAGTATCCACCACAAAGTAGCCAAGATTTACGATCAGTTACATGAGCAGTAACAGGAAAGCTCTTGTGATGTAGGGCGTGATTACTGCGTCCAACATCACGGCGTTAGTAACAAACCAATATGTTGTTTTTTTTGCAGGGACAGCACTATGATTGACCACATCACTAAAGATACACCATTAGGGCAGAGGCTGAGTGTTCACATTAAGGAAGTCTGGCAGAGTGTGCTTAAGGACTGCAGCCATTAAAGGCCATTATGTAGATGGAGACCATTATTCTCACACAGGTCTACAGGACTCAGTGATCCTTACTGCAAATACCTGGAGAGAGGCGTTCTCCTGATGAAGATACTGTGCTGCTTCCGCTGAACGTTTCCTTCCTCCTCCAGTAAATCTCTCTGCTTATGCCTTCTGCCTCCACCTCGGCCTCAGCCTCAGCCTCCGCTTCCTCATCTCCAGTGGCAAAACAAAGGAAACCGGGGTCAACACCACTTTCCAGAACTCTGTAGTTTGGTCAGCATTAACAATACACCAGAACTACTGTATGAATATATTTATGGTCAATCTTACTGATAAGTAAAACAAAATAATACTTGAAGAAATACAGAATATTTAAGACAAGCAAAAGGTTCCCTTTGCTAGTTAGGCACTTCCTGCAGATTTAGATTTTACAGTAAATGGGCTTCACCAAATACAGTAGTTCTTCATTCCAATATATGATACGAGTACTAATTAGCGTAGCATGTAAATATAAAAATATCAGAGCTGTGTTTACCAGCTCGTAAAGTTGAGGACATAAACAGGAAGTGCTAGCCATATCATAATGGCTCTATAAATATGATCCAGATGGCTTAAATAATAGCCTTCTTCCTCATCTCCGGACGTGTATGACTTTCCCAGATTTGTTCGTTGAAAAGAAAGGATGTTGCAAACAGCTGGTTTGTATAAAGCCATTAATTAATTTTTCGTTTTCGGCTTAGTCCCTTTATTAATCAGCGGTCGCCACAGCGGAATGAACTTTAGGGGAAACCGGAGCACCCAGAGGAAACCCACACAACACAGTGAGAACATTTAAACTGACTCTGCTGGGGCTCGAACCAGCGACCTTCCTGCTGTGATGTGATCATGCTACCCACTGCCTCACTGTGCTGCCGGTTTGTATAAAATGCATTCAACGTAAACATTTGTAAAAGAATCATGCAATTCTCAGGCTCTCAGTTATTTCTGAAACACTCATGCATGACTCAAGAAATCCTCTTACCAGCTGTCATGGCATCATTGGGTGGAAAGAGCTCACTGACTGCGGCTAAAGTGTATGGAGGGTCATTCCACAAGGCATCGAGCTCAGCAGGCGATATCGCTATTGAAAGGGAGGGTGAGGTTTAAGGGAGCGTTATTAAATTAGCCATATGTCAAGCTGAAGCTTTTAGGGTAAACGCTTAATTAAATGAACATTAAACGTATAAAAAAATCACAGCTTTCAAATAATGAAAGCTTGTGCAAATCAAAGGGAGTACATGCAAACAATGACAAACGTGATGAAACGTATTGATATCAGCCTAAAACTAGGCACAACAAGTCCTTGGGGATTGTTATATCGATGCAATCTTTTATCACAAAAGGACTACTTGCTAGTTGTTAGTCCACAGCTGCTAGTAAGTTATCTATCAACAGCAAAACAATGTACCAATGGCTAACACAGCAACAATACATACAGTAATTAGTCACAACAGGCATTACACACAACAACAAAGCACACGATAGCTGACACCTAAAGTAAGTACACATCCTGCATTACCTTCATGGGTAAACCTATTACCCATGACTGACAGAAACACTGTGATGTCTCCCTGTGATAGTTACGCTTTCTTCTCATGGCAAAAATCTATGAAAGCCAGGGTGGGACCAACCTGAAAACAAGAAGCAGTTTCTGAGGCATGGAACTGGACAGCAGCAGCAGCAACAACATGCCATGGTGTACACAGCTGACTCCAAACTCAGGTTCAGTAATGCCCGCTTGGCTATAGATCCACTTATCGATAGAGTCACTCCTCTCCCTCTCTCTCTTCCTTTCCATTTTCCTCTCGTGCATAAACCGCACTCTCTCTACTGCTCATTTCTAACTTCCATCTGTTTGCTTCTCTCTCCCCTTTTCCTCTGTGCGTCCACTCTGCAGATGAGTGAAGCACTCTGAAGCACTGCTGGCATGTTTGTGTGGGCTGGTCAGTGCCTTTCTGTGCCAGGGGTTCTTGTGGAAAGTGAGAGCGGCAGCATTCTCACATCGCTGACATACAGAGACAAAAGGCCCAGTGATTTTGTGTCCATTGCTCACTGCAAGTATATGTGCTGTTTTTTATTTAGTGATTCTAAATTTGACTTTTCTCTTTTGCTGTGAAAACACAGTTGACAGCTTCTAGATTTAAAAGCACAACTATCTTTGTCTGGCATCATTACTTTCTATCATTTCAAAAATCAATAATTGATATAGATATTAAGGCCATAATCTGATTTTAAAGAGAGGAAATTAAATTAATAAATAGGTCGCGCAGATCCAAAGATTTACAAAGCAACATTTTTTCTAGCACAACATTACTAGCCACACCATTCGGTTAAAAGTAAAACATAAACCAGTATCTCTCATGAGGAAAATACAGTGGCCGAGAGCTTAATGTGCTGCAACTTAAGAAAACACATGCAATAACACACCAGCAAATTTAGAAAAGATCTTCATCCATTTGATAGCACACGTGCAGCAAATCCTCACACTGCAAACACATAAGAAAAACGTGCTGCATTTTCTCACAACGCAAGCTATTTACGAAAACACTCAAATAGCTCAGAACACAACGAAAATGTTTCAAAGGGACCCTAAAACGTGACAAACCCCAGCTATTTAAGCTAATAGCGAGGTTTTTATGTCCACTTGAAACATTTCTGTTGTGTTCCAATGGTTTTGCAAGTGTTGTGAGAAAATTCAGTGAGTTTTCATATTTTGTTTGTGTTGTGAAAAAATGCAGCACATCTTATTCATTTGTTTGCATTGTGTGAGAATGCAGCGCATTTTAAAATTGTGACGATTTGCAGCACGTGTGCTGTCAAACGGATGAAAATCTTTTCTTAATTTGCTGGCGTTTTTTGTAATTGCATGTGTTTTCTTGAATCGCAGACCTTTAAGATCTAACAGCCTCCGTGGGAAAAACCCTTTTTAAAAATTATAAAAATCCACTAATACTCATACTAATAGTATACATTAAATATTTAGTTCAGATAGAACATTGAATTGGTAAATTCTCTAATAATGAACATATCTCAGTTCATTAAATTTGTACATTTATTTTAAAACTACATTTAGAACAATGAAAAATCAAAAGGCTGTTTCCAATCAAATTAAATTATCAATACCTTTGAACAGCAGAGGTTGCACATTTTTCTATTTATTTATTGCCATTTAGATGTATTTAGAACTATATCACAAATTTAATGGATGTATTTCTATTGTATCTACAACTTCAAAAGATTCTAAAATGCATTAAAACATTACATAATATGAAGGTTTTACAATGCAACATATTTCAAATATGGAAAAATATTAAATATGTGAAAATATGAAACCAAAACTAATTGTCCAGTAAGTGCTAATAAGTGACTGCCTTACAATATCAGCGAATAGTCTATTATTTCATTAAAAACGTTTGTTCGTTTATCAATTATGTTTCATTTAACATTTTCATTCAAAAGTGCAGCAAGTGATTATCTTAATGAATCTGTCAATAAACCAATGCCTCGTGATTTGTTTAAAGCCTGGAATCATTCATGATGTAGGTTACTGAGTGACACTTCAGCAATTAAGCTTGTATTTTAGTCAAGAATGTTGTTTAAAATGTGGTTCTTTAGATGTACACAGACATCCATGTTCTTTGGATGTACACAATCTGTTAATATGTTGTTTTGGTGTATTATGTATTTAGTGTGATGTTAAAAAAAATGTTTAGCATATTCAAATCATATAGATAGTATTCTCAATATTTTTTAATGTAGTCAGTCTACCATATGATTGTCTCCCTGTCACTACTTCACTGTCTGTGTTTTGGGGCATAACAAAGAGTGTACTTGTCTATATAGAGTAATTTTGCTCATCGTAGTGTTTTGTAAAGAGAGAACCCAGTCAGATTCTAATTGAATCTGTGGAGATCTTGTGAGCAAGAGCAGTGGTAAACAGCCAAAAGCCATTTCTCAGCATACCTCAACAACTCTCACAGAAAATCTCTATGTGCTTTAGCGAAAAAAACCTGAAGCAATTAGCTCCTCCATAATCACCCAGTGTGTAAATTATGCACTTGCTACTTTTTACAGCAATGATATAGAAAAAAAGAAAAAAAAGAATATATATATATATATATATATATATATATATATATATATATATATATATATATTAGCCATTTTTATGGACTATTTGTTATATTATAAAAATTATACTAATAGCTAAATATTCTTGATAATTAAAAAAGCTGCTTTTTGAGTGTACATGGATTATTATGCTATAATAGTGCTAACATGCTATCATTACATGGTAATGAGTCGTGTAAAATGGTCTTAAAATGACAACATTTTTTATCACAATTAATTTTGGTGCAATGCATCACACAACAAAACGTACAGTAGTTATCATTAATAGGCCTATAAAAAATTAAGCTGCTACTAAATTGTAACAATGACCATATTAGTTTGAAAATCTTTTTTTTTTTTTTTGCATAGGTTTTATGTTCTGAATTAAGAAAAAAAACTAACCTGGATTTTAATAATAATTTATTCTGATTATTTTGACTAAAATCACATTTCCCCATAAAAATCTCATATTTATGCTGTATTTAGTGCCTCAGCATATGTCCCTTATTTCATATTTTTTAAAATGACATTGGTGAGGGCTAGCAGTAGTCACATGTCATGCAAAATTGCCTAATATGTGGGAGCCAATTGTGTTAGTATAATTTAAAAGACAATATCACCATCTAATCACATTTCTATATCAATTAATTTGCAAGTATAGGACTAAGTTTGAAGCGAAAGTAATTAGCTATAAGTATATAAAGGTAAAAACATGTTTAAGGTATGTTTAAAGAAACAGTAAAACCTAAGAAAATGTAATGTGTTTTATGCAATTGCTGAATCTGTCTATTGAACTTCAAAAAAGTCAATGTTAAAAGTTGTTCTTTTAAAGAGTGTACTCGCATTATTGTGCTGTAATATTATCATACTGCCAGTACATAGTGATGAGTCGGGTAAAATGGTCTTTACCTCAAGAAAGTCATTCAGTATTCAAAACTCTTTGATAATATCATTTCAATATTCATTAGTGGTGTTTCATTATTTGAAAAGTCTAAAAAAACAGGTTGTTTTCTATGATAACCATAAAAGTTATTATTCCAACAGCAGAAACATAATTGTGTAATTAAAAGATTATAAAACTGTCTGTCCTATTTTCTGGTCTGAGAAATCAAATATCTAGACTTCTGATACACTATATGTGAATACTATACAATTATAAATGCTCCCCAAATTCCTAGTTTAACTTCTTTGTAGGGGGTTGGAAACTTCATAATTCATACCCTGGGAACTAAAAACCATATGTGTGAAGGTGTCATACTTATAACTACACACCTAATGTTGTGAAAGTAGTAACTGTTGAAGGCTGGCAGCACATTCCCTTCTGAATGTGATACATAGAAGGTGAACTGTCCTGTGCACTTGGAGACAGTGAAGTTAGCGCTCTCTCTCTCTGGGTTACTAGCACAGTGTGTGAATGTCAGTGAAAACAACAAGGTATGTAACCCGAGTAATGAGTCTAGACTCTAAGTTTAGAATGTCGTTCATGCCCAAGCAGCACATGCTGGCAGCCTGTTACTATTAAACGGTGTGAGAAACAATTTCTTATATAGGCTACTTAGTGAAAAGTTCTACAGTTTGTTTTAAGAGACAGATTCTCACAGAGAAAAACTATGTAAATGAAAAGACAACCAAAAGTCTTAACAGAATCTTTAAAAGTACATATAATTCAACCACTTGTCCCACTTTCATTCAAAACTTGAAAACTATTAACACAGGAATGTGAACTAAACACACATTAGTCTATATGCACTTTAGTCTCTGAGAAAGAGCGTACCTCTGACTTGCTGACTCCCGGTTGTGTGTTCGTTCCTCATAGATCTGTCACAATACGAGCTCTGTGGAGTTCCTTTTAAAACTTACCAAAACTAACCATAATAATCCATAATGCTCCTGTAGGAGGGACAAGGGTTGTGTGTGTACGTGTGTCTTCTGGTTGCATGAGTGTAGAGCTGAGGGAAGTTATGTAAACTCCTCCCCTAAATCATATGTGAGTTTTTCCTCTCTGTTTCTCTTTCTCTCTCTCTCTCTTTCTGAGACTTGTTCTCTTATTTCCTTGTTCTATTTAAACTCTAAATCCATACAGAAGGTGTTCACTTTGTTGATAAGGTGATAGATAGCTAGTATTCAGACTATCAATATTTTTACTTTCATGACTAAGCTAATACTAAATATCTGATTCATCAGGAATCCAACCAGTTTTCATTTCTTTGAAAACCTACAAAAAGTAAAGGAAATGTGAATTGTGTATGTGAGAAAAATGTGAATGTGAGTTTTTTTGTTTGATAATAAAAGTAATCCTTCAGGTCTGACTTGTTTTTTCATAGAGCAAAACAAAATGCCTGTAGAGTTGCTATCAGCTTCATTATAGTCAAATACGCCCTCTTGCTCACATTCCAAAGGTGCTTCCTTTAGCATTTCTAGGCAAATATTCAGTCACATGTTTATATCTAGTGAAGATATCAAGTTTCTTTAAAACATTATTATTTTCTTCCAAGAATTCCCTGTGCTCATGTGGCTCTGTTTCGTCAGTAGGTCAGATAACAGGCAGGGCCTAGGCTCAGCTAGTCATTTTTTGCTTTTCTAGCCTGGTTAAATATAAACCCTGGAAAAGACTCCAGATTCTAGGGACTGTTATTGAGTCATTACAAAAGTCACCCTGAGAAGATATTGGCCATGTGACTGGTCTGTGAAAGAAGGCTCTTTGTGCAGTACAGTGTGACCACAGGTCTCAGATGGTGTGGGTAAATGGATTACATACCACATCAATGATAGAGAATCAAACCCCCGACAACTGGTGGAGCCAGCAGGCCATGTGCCCAAACCATAGTCACGGCATTAACATGGCACACAAGACAAGCAGCTGACGGCTTCCACAGCACATCTGTTGGATAGCATATTTATATCTATTCATCTATTGTGCCCGTGATTATTAACAAATAATCATTTTATATGCTTCCTGAATCTGAAAGTTGATTCTCAAGATCAGCTCAGTAGATGCATGGTGTATTTAAAAATCTATTTAAAAGTTTAATTGTAATAAATGATTCACACAAGCACCTGAAAACTTACATTTCAATTGGATCAAGAATGGTGAAATAAACTTTTCCAAATACAAATGAGGGAGCATATAAACACTTGATCAGTACGAAAAATGAAACTGTAATGGTTTGCATGTATGCAATGATGTTGAAATGATGCAGTGATGCATAATGCCTTCTGATTGTTCTTGCTGAATCTATTAAATTGATGTGATAAAGTTCCATTTGCCAACATCTTGTTTGAAAATAGGAATGAGAATTTTTCCCTGGTGAAAAACGTGCACAAACATTTTTGGTTACTCATTTTTTACTTAACAGTTAATTTTTAGTACTATTTAAAGTAAACAAGATGACTATGCTATTTTGACACATCAAAAAGTTGAACTAAAATATACCTTTAAAATACTACTGTTATATTTAAAAATATATATTATACCACTTTTAATACAGTACTAACCATCTTTTATTGCACTTTTAAATATGCTATCTGTACAAATAAAATACACTTATATATTCTGTAAAATATAACA